TACGCGACAGCGCCGGCACCCACCAGCAGCTTGAGAGCGGTGGTCACGCCGCGCGGGCCCGAGGGCAGGCGGCCCACCAGGTCTTTCAGGCTCTGGTCCATGTGGGTGCGGCGGCGCTGCGGGCACACAAGGGTTGCACGGTCACGATCTCTGGCCCGGGACCTGACCCCACGCGACTGTTGCTGCAGGCACTGGAGGAGAAGGGCACCGGAAGTGTCCGACACCTAATCACTCCCCAACGCAGCCGGGGCCGGAACCTGCCCGCCCCTCTTCCGACATGGCGCAGCCACCACACGCGGCCGACGGAAGTGGGCTCTGGAGTTAGCGCGGGGACGGAAGTACCCTCTCCCGCACGTGGTCGCTCTTTTAGCGAGGAAGCAGGGTAGGAGGGAACCGAGTCGCACTTGAGGGCCGGAAGTGGCGGGGGCGAATCCCCTCGCGCGTGTACTGGATCGGAAGTGGGGGAGCGGTGTTCCCCGTAAATCTGCTCCCGGGCCCAAGATGGCGGCGCCCACGCGGCGGCACGACATGGATGCGGCTCCGGCTGCGAAGCGGCCTCGAGGGCAGCGGCGGCTCCTGGTCATCCTGGAGGGGGCCAGCCTCGAGACTGTGAAGGTGCGGGGGGCCCGCGCGGGGCGGGCTGGGGTGGGGCCGGCGGCCACTGACGCAGTTTCCCGCACAGGCCGGCAGGACGTACGAGCTGCTGAACTGCGACAAGCACAAGGCGCTGCTGGCGCGGAGCGGCCGTGACCCGGGCGCCGTCAGGCCTGACATCACCCATCAGGTAGGGTTGCGCCGCGTCCCGCGGGGCTGGTCCTGGGGAGAACTCCTTCCTTACCCTCCTTGGGGCCTTTGCTGGCAGCTCCTCCCTAGCCCTTCTGTGAAGGGTGAGCTCTCTGCAAGTAGCGCTGCAGAGTCCATCTCCCAAGTCATGGCATTCCCCACCCCTGCCTGGGCAAAGCAGCTCCTGGTGACTGTGGACCAGGTGCTGGTGCCCACTGCTTTGCCCTGCCCTGCCCTGTATCACTGAGTTGCATGGCCTTGCCTGCTTCCTGTTTGTTTTTCCACCCCAGAGCCTCCTGATGCTCATGGACAGTCCCCTGAACCGGGCTGGCTTGCTGCAGGTGTACATCCACACACAGAAGAACGTGCTGATTGAAGTAAACCCTCAGACAAGGATTCCCCGCACATTTGACCGTTTTTGTGGTCTGATGGGTAAGAGATTCAAGCTGTTGCTTGTCTGTGTGACAGCCTGGGGAGGGAGTTGGGGAAGCCAAGCCTTTCTGGGAAGACTGAAGGAGCAAGTTACACCTGCTTCAACAAACCTTCAATTCCAGGAGAAAAGCAGAACAATTCTACAACGAGTCTGGGGATGCAGACCCCAGGGATGCATTGTTTGCGAGAATTGAGATAATTAAATGAGAGTGAGTTAAGAGAGCTCTGGAGCCACATTTCAGGGGTATTTCCATGAGGAAGTCTAATGGCTCAAAACAGTGGAAACAAGGAGTCTTAGAGATGAAATCTTAGGGTGATTTTTCCTAGCTCTTGCTTCTGAATGTAGGATGGAGCAGGAAGATTTCTCATTTTTTATCTTGTCTCCTGCCAGTTCAGTTGCTGCATAAACTCAGTGTCCGATCAGCTGATGGACCGCAGAAACTTTTGAAGGTAAAAAAAACTTACGGGTCTTTTAGAGGCAATTTCCTGACTGCTCCCAATGAGTTGAGAATGTGGTAGGGAATGGCCACATGTTGAAGACTTAGAGCTTGTTAGTCCCTCACTTGGGCGCTTTGTATTTCCATATCAGCTTTGTCATCTTTTTTCTGGATTCCCAATCCAAAACATCTACTAATAAAAGTCAATCTCTCCCTGATACTGTACTAACATTCCCCCCCACTTTTGCAGGTAATTAAAAATCCAGTGACTGATCATCTTCCTGTGGGCTGCATGAAGATAGGCACTTCTTTCTCAGCTCCTGATGTGACAGATGCACGCAAACTGGTTCCTGAAGAACAGCCTGTTGCTATTGTTGTGGGAGCTTTTGCCCATGGCTCGGTAGGTCTCGTGCG